CCCCCCCCCCCAACCAATTTTGAACATCATCACACTCGTTCTCCGCAATAGAGCACCGACCGAGGTAGCGCCGTTGAGAGTGTTCACTCATGTTTACTCGTGTTTCGTGCACTCCGCGAGTGTTTCGCGCAAGGTCAGCGTCCGGGGCCGATTGAAGTTCTCCGCAATGGGGTGGGGTGGATGATCCATCCCCAAGTCCACTCGCTGGCATACACCATTCGCGTCTACCTCCCACAACAAGTTATCGTTGAAGTCGAAGTCGACATCCAGGAGGATGTTGTGCAGAATGCACACAACTTGGAACAGTTGCGGAAGTGTGTCCATATTCATTTTGTTTGTGCGAAGGAAAAGCCGCCATATCCCCTTCAACCTTCTGAAAACTCTATCCACCACTCCTCTGGCGACCTTCTGCTTATTGTCAAACCTCTCTCGCCTGGGACGTGATCGGTCCCTCCATAAAGCACCATGATCCATTCCATGGGAGGATAGTCGTTATCGCCAATGATGTACCCGTGTGTCCGAGTCTGCACCCGAACGATAGGAGCACAACAGGACCACGAGAAAGATCCCCCTCGTTAGCGCGCTTCCACAGAGTGGACAACTGAAGCACTCGGATGTCGTGACAACTCTCGAGATAGCCGACGAAAACGTCTGTCACACGCAAGTCCAAGTCCACAACTATCTGTGCAACCACCGAAAAACGATGCTTCCGGTCGAAGTAGTTCTCGAACGGTGCATTCGCTGGTTTGTCCACGTCGATGTGTGTGCAGTCTATGCATCCATAACAGTTGGGTAAACCCTTCGCCTCAAACGCTCGCAAAACGACCAACTGCCGCAACCCAGAAGGTAAAACGGTCTTTTCCCGATACACCCTTAGAAACGCCCTCGTCACGTCCTCCATCGCAGTCAATCTTGGGTCGCAACCTATGCCAAATCAAGATGTGATGCTCTCGTACGTCTCCCCGCTTGCCCAATGATAATGCGTGTATGTGACGATGTGATCGGGATTAAAGACTCCCTGTAGAATATCACCCTATGCTACAGATGAAGGGACAACGCCTCAACGATCTCCAGAAACATTCCACGAAACATCCACAACTTCTCCTTATAGTAACCCTCCGCCGCGTCGTCCATGTTCGAAAGATCCTCCCATATCCCGTCCGTCCTTCTCCTCATCCACCATCTCGGAGTCGCCCGCGGGATCACACCCGTTGCCATGACGCAACAAAATTGCACAATTTATTCCGATAACGACACACAATCGGACGGCTCCATCACTTGTTGCATGAGCTGCCTTTCCCTGCGAATGGACAATCTCATCTTCATGCGAGTCGTCGTTCTCTCAACGCGATAACGAATGGCGACGACCGACATAGCTGGAACCACCGCATTTCTCTCCAAAGTCGTCAATGCATTCCCAACGGCCCGCACATCTCCCTCCATGTTCATGACATGCAATGTGCAAATCCTTGGACACCATTTCGCTCGCGGACACCCTCGTTCGCTTGTCTCCATGTCGACGGATATGGTGGCAGCACTCTCCACGCTTCACGCACCCCCGACGTGCCCGGTCAACTATGGCAGTCCACATGATTGTCACGGAAGGCCCAAAGAGGAAGGTAGAACCCGTTGGCGACACCGCGTGGGACGACCATTACCGTTGGCGCTACGTCGGTGTGCGTTCCAATGCCCGCGCCCTCCAGTACTCCTCCGCACAGACGTTTCGCTCCAGTGTGCACTCCAGCCGCCTGGATGCCTCTGGCGCGGATGTGTCACAACGAAGGTTTCAAATTTCAAATTTTGAACCAGGATGTTCGCACCAATTTTTCTTTTCCCACCTCGGTGGCCTGCGGTGGGCTTCCTTGTCGCCACCACTGGACCACGCCTACGACGCATAGACATCCCAGCACGACGATGGACATCCACCCCCGCGGCCGCTTGCATGCGTATGAAATTGACCGCTGGAGGCCTCCAAGGGTTTCCTTGGGACCCGTCGAATTAGGACGCGGGGTGACGACTATGCTGAGAACCGAAAACTTTTCCAAGGACTTCATCCCAATTCCGAAGGATTTTGCAAGGAGGGTCTAACGAGGCCCTATTTGGAAATTGGAATGCCACGGAGGAATTTCTCATCATGACTCTATGTCGAAAAAAAACAAAAACAAAACGTCCGCCCAAAGTCTTCCTGGCCGCTTCCTGCAGGCTGTGGGGTCTGAAAACACCCTCTGCGCCAATCCATACGCTTTTCCGCACGCCTGTGGGGTCCAGACCTATCTCATGGCTGAACCTCCTTGCAATAGCGGTGTGGGCGGTCTCACGTACGTTTTCCCAGCAGGGAACTCCAGCGACCTTTTGCGGCTATGCATTGGCCAGTTAGTACCAGTTGAGGGAAGACGGCTGTTCGGTCGGGGGCCGGCGGGAGTTCCCGCCTGCGAGGGCGGTGTGTTTGGCGGGGAGCAAGCGTGGGGAACAATTGACTTTCGCATGCGCCACGTGTCGGACAGGCAAATCTCATGGTCGTTCACTGGACACGTTACGTGGGGTCATTTGTTAATGTCATTGTGAACCTAACCTGATGTTCGTCTCAGTGGCCCAATCTGACAAGACGTGTCTGGTCGCGTAGGTGCCGCACGCGTGTGCGCATCGTTTATCTGGCTGATCAGACGCGCCCATCCTTTCATACCGCGAACCATCACCCTGAGTAGTAGCTAGGCATCACTTCGAACCCAGAATACAGACATTCACACACACACACACACACACACACACACACACACACACAGAGAGAGAGAGAGAGAGAGAGAGAGAGAGAGAGAGACGATGGCGGCGATGGGTAAGGTTGTGGCAAATGACGCAGTTGAAAATGGCCCTCGAGATAATGAGTGGTACCCTCTGAGGATTGGGGAGACAATGATGAATGGCAGCAAATCAACTTTGCAGTATTATACTCTCCGCTGTACGTCTGTAGTTAAATCGTTCTCCTCTCTCTCTCTTTTTCCCTTTTTCTCTGTGTTTCTCTCTTTCTCTTTCTCTCTCTCTCTCTCTCTCTCTCTCTCTCCCTCCCCTATCACTATTGCTCTCTCTCCCATCCCTCACTCTCTCTCTACATCTCTACATCTTTTGTTTTCTCTGCGGCTCTCTCTCTCTCTTTCTCTCTTTAGAGCTTTTGTTCTCTTTTCGCCTCTCTCTCGTTCGCTCTCCACCTCTCCCTCTTTCTCTTCGTCGGGCTTGCGGAGCTTCGGAATGGCGGATGGATGGTTTGCTGTAAGGGAGGGATAAAAAGGACATCCGGCGCGTCTTTGGTCGGCAGGGTGCAACAAGGCACAATCGTGGAGAGTAGAACATAATATACATATATATTATGACTATATTATGACTATATTATGACTATATATATTTACGTAATGATATATATATTATATTGTGACGATGTGTATATTTTTGTGACGATATATATATACATACTCTGTTTGACGAGATATATATGTATATATATTGCCACATGAATATCAGAGCGCAAAAGCGAAAAAATAAATATATATATATTTGGTCGGCAGGGTGCAACAAGGCACAATCGTGGAAAGTAGAACATAATATACATATGTATTATGACTATATTATGACTATATTATGACTATATATATTTACGTGATGATATATATAAGAGGTTATGAACAGGCTTTCCTTACCTTTTCCCCTTCCCCTTTTTTCCTTTTCCTTTTTTCTTTCCCCTTTTTTGCGCTCTGATTCACAATGTGACAATATATTATATTGTGACGATGTGTATATTTTTGTGACGATATATATGTACATACTCTGTTTGACGAGATATATATGTATATATATTGTCACATGAATATCAGAGCGCAAAAGCGAAAAATTAAATACAGCGGCGTGTCTGGAGTGTATTTTATGGCTGTGACAGACCTTTCTTTGTTTCGTGGATGTTTTGCTGGCTTGTGATGGGGTGTGAACCGACAGTCTGTAGAGTTTTCCATCTGGTGTGGGTGAGTGATAGTATACTTTGATTTTGGTTAAGGTAGATTATCATTTACAGTGTAATCAGTGAGGGGATTCTGCAGACTGTTGAGGGTTCAGCCTCCTGATGAGTCGGTGAAACTCCGACGAAACAGTTTGTCACAGA